GCAACTAAGCTTTATTTGGATCTAAAAAAAGATACGATTTTTCGAGCTCAATAACATCTTATCTTACCACTTGGATTCTAACATGAAAAGAAAGTATTTTGCAGAGGCTCAAAAGCCCACGTGGGGGCCATTCTGAGCTTTCGATTGGTTATTCACACATCATAGACAGAAGTAGGTGTAGGTAAGAAAGTATTTTCCAAAAATGGAAAGAGGTGGGTGGGGCCCACTGTGTTTGATTCAATAAATGTAGCAATATCTCGGTAAATAGAAAATATATTAGGTTTTTATTTTATATTGTAGCTTGTGAATATCGGTAATTTGAATTTCTAATTCGTAAGGAACTACAGACTTTATATTTGGACATCACAAACATCTAATCTGAACATACCACGTGACACACAAAAATCTATATATAATTTTTTTATTTACATTTAAATTAAGAAATTAACTAATGTATAATACTAAAACTATAATCTATAAATTATAATCTACAAGTTTTACCAAACTTATTGACATACATTCATAAAATAGTAATTAAATAAAATTTTAAATGTGAGTCTACAAACTCGATGTCCCATGACCAGAGGAAGACCTGTTTCGGTAAGATTAAGCAGACATCGTTAATACATGTTAGTTAAATTACAGACTTAATGAGATTGAAACAAATAGTAACAGCTTAAGTCTCACGAAGATGGATGGTGTTTCTATAAGCTGAAATGTGTTACTGTACTTCCATAGGAGTGCATACAGGTTTTAACTTGTCTAAATTTATGTTTAAAGTTTCCATTTATATATTTAATTGTATTACATGTGTTTTACAAATTGAGATAGTGCTTCTATAGGCAGATAGTGTTACTAGTAAGATATGTAGGAACGGATTATGTTATTTTGGTCATATAATTAGATAAGAGTGGCGGGGTGACAGTGATTCTAATGAGTAAAATCAAAGGGTGAAGAGCGAGTGGCGGGAAGACCCTTCCGTGATTCGATGACATTCAAAAATATATTGAAAATGAGAACCTTGAGTTAGGAAAGTGATTGAAGAAAAGAATGAATAATAGAAAATTTTAGTGGTCGATCCTCAGAATTGGGAAGGTCACACTGCAAGTTATTGTTTAATATTGATAATATTTCGATTTCCTTAACTGTTTGTATTGTTTCTTGAGGTCAGACCATATTATTGTAGCGTAGAGTACAGGTACTGATTTTGTTACGCTCATGCTCGAATTATAAATTCCCCCTTAATTTTTACTCCGAAGAATTGCCTCTTAGCTTTTTTTTTTTCATTTTATAAATCCCCCTTAAATTTTACTCCGAAGACTTGCCTCTTAGCCTTTTTTTTCATTTTATAAATCACCCTTAATTTTTACTCCGAAGAGTTGCCTCTTAGCCTTTTTTTTCATTTTATAAATCAACCTGCCCACCAGTGGCACAGCGGTATGTCTGCGGACTTACAACGCTAGAAACCGGGTTTCGATACTCGTGGTGGGCAGAGCACAGATAGCCCATTGTGTAGCTTTGTGCTTAATTCCAAACAAACAATAAATCAACCTTAATTTTTACTCCGAAGAGTTGCTTCTTGGCCTTTTTTTTATTTTATAAATCCCCCTTAATTTTTACTCCAAAGAATTGCCTCTTAGCCTTTTTTTTTCATTTTATAAATTCCCCTTCATTTTTACTCCGAAGAATTGCCTCTTAGCCTTCATTGATTTTTAGCGACATTCTTCCGATTTCTTGACAAGTAATCCGTTAAAAAAATTACCCAACAAGTTTCTTTTCAATTTGAAACTTGAACAAACAGACTTTGCCCAAAAACAAACGAATTTTGACAATGGATATGATATTTTATATGGGACACTTAGAACTTTTGAAACATATATTCTATCTGTGACTGTACCACTTTATTCGTAAATAAAACTAGTAGTTCATAAAGTTTCTTGCTTGCAACGCCACCTATCTTCCGTTCAAGGTAAATATGTATTAATGTGTTTAGCATGGTGCATCAAAGCAGCTTTGCCATAGCTGCAGTACCACGAGGCATATTAATCTTATTTATAACACGATTTCCTGCAGCCAATCTTACATTTAGCCTTCGCCAAAACGCGTCACGCAGTTTTAATTTCCCCTATTTTGTCTCAGTTTCAAGCCGTCTACGCTTCGCCTTTGTATATTTGATATAAAATTCCGACCATCTTCCCTATATTGTTGTTTGTCTTGTCCCGCCGCTGTATCTAGTTTCATGTAATGAAGCGAACATTTTCAGTCCAATTAGAGGCTGTATAGTTAAACGTGAGTACACTACACACTAACCTTTCTATCGACATTTAGCTTCCAGCTGTTCATGTTCATTATCTTCTTTCCACATCTTTCATGGAAGTCTTGCATCCTGTTAGCTAGCGGTACGTTCTTTTGTACTCTAAACATATATAGGTCTAGACTCTAGACTATTCTTCAAGTAATGGATAACGGTTTTATTCTTGGGTATTCGTTGATTTAGTTGCATTTTTTTTTGGATATTTATGTATTACATAAACACGTATGGAATATTCTAAACAGAAATCTTGGTCATCTACCATACATTTTGTTTCACAAGTTTCTTCTTTGTTGTGAAAATCCTTTAGTTTTTGGCTTCAATTTTGTGTGTGTGTGTGTGCGTGTGAGTGTTTAGTGTCGTGGCTTTATTTTAATAACCAGTATATTGGTAGGTTCCATCCAGTAAGATTTTGTTGGGTTGTTGTTAAGCACAAAGTTATACAGTTGGTAATCTGTGCTCTGCACACTACGGGTATTGAAACCCGAATTTTGGTCAACTGGTAGTATTACATTAGAGTGCATAAGAGGGTACCTGTAATTATCAGCGCTGTGTTAAATATCGTAGTCCATTAAGTAATAAACACGAAAACAGCGACGAAAGCAAAACTGAAATCAGTTTGAACTCTTACAAACTGTTGTGTAAACAACTTAATAACTGGTAAGGTTGGGGCATTTGACTGCATTGTGGAACGCATACGATAGCTTGTTGTTGATGTTTAGACGAACTCAAATGCATTCCCTAACGTGTAAGTTGTCATGAATAGATGCTTTAATACAACTACTGACAGCTTTAATTACTCATTAGCCTTTTCCTCCTGGGTTAACTTTTTTGTAAAAATGCCTTGCCAAAGACATGCCTTATCATATGTCACATAATCCTTTACCAAAGAAACGTCTTGTCAGGATATGTCACGTAATGCTTTGCCAGATAAATGCATTGTCATGATATGCTACGTAATGCTTTGCGAAAGAAATGTTTAATCATGATATGTCGCGTAATGCTTTGCCAAAGAAATGTTTAATCATGATATGTCACGTAATGCTTTGCCAAAGAAATGTTTAATCGTGATATGTCACGTAATGCTTTGCCAAAGAAATGTTTAATCGTGATATGTCACGTAATGCTTTGCCAAAGAAACTTTAATCGTGATATGTCACGTAATGCTTTGCCAAAGAAATGTTTAATCGTGATATGTCACGTAATGATTTGCCAAAGAAATGTTTAATCGTGATATGTCACGTAATGCTTTGCCAAAGAAACGTTTAATCGTGATATGTCACGTAATGCTTTGCCAAAGAAACGTTTAATCATGATATCTTACAGGTTTTGAATCTATTCGTTTCTTCTTTGTATGTATTTCCTGCCAGTAATAACCGAGTTTGGCTATTTTTGTACTTGAATTTTAAAAATTAAAACAAATATAGACAAGACTTTTTCTCTTTGAATAGCACGCTTTTCTTAATTCTCTAATCCTTAAATATAATACAGTCGATGTTAAGGTACATGAGAAGTTGGGAAGGTAGTTCAATTTTTTAAAATTTAACACATTTACGAAATAAAAGCTTATTTGTTTAGAAGTTTGTTTGCTTGCTTACAATACGTTTTCTACAAAACAATTTCAAGTATCCAGTTTGAGCATGATAGTGTTTTTAACATCAAAATGTACTAGTCAATGTCTGAGCTTAATGAATGACACAAGCTTGGTTATTCAAATACAAGAGCGAACGATTAGCGTTCGTAAAACTAAATGAAGAATGGATGCTGAAGTTACGAAACCCTACAGTGTTCGAAAATTGTTTGAATTAAACAGTTTAAAACTAAACAAATGTATAATTTTTCATGCAAAGTTTGTTTGTCCGCTGTGAAACTCCAAAGCTACATAATGGACTATCTGTGCCGTGCCCACTACGAGTATCGAAACCTGGTTTTTAGCGTTGTGAGTATTCAGATTTACTGCTGAGCCACTGGTGGGCCTCGTGAAACGTACAAAATTAGACAAATACTCTACCTCCCCCCCCCCTATCCTGGTGGTTCAGCAGTAAGTTTACGGACTTAAAATAGTAAAATGCGTGGTTCAATTCCTCGCACTGGACAGAGCACATCTCATTGTGTAACTTTACGTAAAAACAGCGGCGATATATAAAATGTATTTACCCGTACATGTTCTAAATTTCAATTTGAGGTCTTGTGTATATGAAGTGGCTAAATTTTTAATCTTTCACTTTGAAGAGAGAGGGCTTGGTGAAGTAAAGGATTTCCTGTCTTTTACATTTAAAATCACTCTTGCACACTAAAGAAGGAAACCTTTTTTCCGCAACTTGTTGTCTCTGGCTTTACTTCGTACTTTGTTCTCAAAGTGACTTTTCTGTTCTGAAGAAATACCTTAACATAAGTACTGTAATCTCATTCTACATAGCAGTTATCATGTCAAACAGATAAAACGCCTAAAGCACATGCCAAGATAACAGATTCAACAAGTGTTTTTGGTTTCTTTCCTCGCTTCATCTGCATCGTGTTTAATTATTACTGACATTGTGTTGATGGATCTATTGACTAAATGGAGAGAAGTGGTGCAAGATTATAAGTATTTACTTCCCATTAAGCAGATGGAATCGATAGAGAAATCACTTTATTGTGTTTAACACACAACTGCGGATACTTAACTGTCTGTTTTTGCATGGTAAAGGTACGCAGTGATGGCAGGAACGCCGCAAAAGATGCTTGAACACTTATTGGAGACTAGGATAGACATTAGAGTTGAAGACGGAACAGGTGAGTTGACTATACATATGTGTGTTTTTTTTTCATTTTATAATAATATAATCTTTATGGTTGTTTTGTTTTTAGTATTTCTTACCTTACGTCACGTTACCTTTGGGAGACAAAATTTTGATTGAAAGTACTTAAAGCATTGATCAGTCGATAGCATTGGTTTTGTAGGTCA